TCAGGTGGCATGGATTGGTGGCCAAGAACATAAATAGGGTGTTCTCTATTTCAAACATCATCTGAATTAATAGTTAAAGTTCTGCTTCTGCTTCCTTCATATTTTTAGGAATAGCCATAATTTGTTATTTCTAATTTTTGTGCATTATATAGGATTTTGTTTAAGGTAAGTTAATACTATTAATATTACCATGCACTGTGTGGCTTTAAATTACAAGAAGGCATTTTATTAATCTTTTGGGACATTTACCACTGGCATACCCGTTTAGTTTAATGAGTGGAAATGTCATCTTTCTATGTGGAATGAAATTGGCCCAATAAAATAGGTTGCATGTAAAAGATTGAATTATTTTTAAGAAGTTGTCAAACAAGGTGGGAAAATTTACATTTGGAGTTTAATATAGATATTGACTTGAAACAAATTAAAGTTGAAACTTTGTCAGTAAAGTACTTTTAATTTACCTTTAAGTTAAACCCAATTCAATAAATAGATCTGATTAAACCTCATACTGTAGGTCTATATTATTAATAATAATAATACCTCCAAATCACAAGACATTGGTTTTATTCTTATTCTTCCCCTCTGCAGTTTGAATATAAAGTATAAAAGATTAAAAAGAGATTTTCATAGATATCCCAGCCTTTGAACTACCCAAGGAACTGAAACAGCAAAGTTTTGCTGTCAGGCAAACTTCCACACCAGCCACCTTTCTTTACTCTCACTTCACCTCTTTTTAACCTCACACCCCACCTTCTGTAAGGGAAGGCAAAAGACTCACTCACCCTCTTGTGAAAAATGGCCTCCATATTTATGTGTCTCCCACTGCCACCATCGGCTTCCACACCACATATATAAACAGAGTGCTTTTTTTGTCATAGAACGCACCGGAACAGAGTTCCAGCACCTTTTTTTGATGGATTTTCCAAGTTTTAAAAGTAACTTTTGAAAAATTTGATGTTTAGTCCATATGGACCTGAATTGCCCTGTTGAGCATAGCAGGTCGGCAGCAAAATCATTAAAATGATGCATACAGGCTGCTTGTGGGTCGAGTTTGATGCATGCGTACTTTGTCCATGCTGGTTGTGATGGCGCTGCTAGACTTGTGGTACTGCTCAGCTTGTGATTGGTCATGTGGTCGCGCGCTGAGTGCTTACTGCAGGCGGCAACCGTTATGTTTTATTACACAACTGACATGTGTGGGTGTGTGTACAGTGATTGACTACATGTGAAAGGTAAATAATTTATTTTTAAAAATCGGTGAATTGAAAATCTTTTTTAATTTTTAGTGTAAAATTTACTACGAGCATTTGCCTTAAATACAATAAATTAAATTTATGTTAAGAACTGAATATATATTTTTTTAAATAAAAGATTAACAAGATGTGAATTCTGGCATCTTTTTTCTTACAAAAAAAGCATTGTATATACATACACACACATGCATATATACACACACACACATATATACACATACATATACATATATAATTTGATTATCATAATATAAAACAATTTTTTAAAAAACAGCCTGCAACAGTTGCAGACTAGACATTTCTTTGATTCAGTATATCATCCAAAATTTGAACAAAATCTAAATCCAGAACTGATTAATTTTCAATTATTTCAAAAAGTTATTAGAGAAGTAAAAGTAGATATGGAAGTTATGTAAAACATGTCTTTCCAATCCCTTACTAGACCGTTACTCTGGAAGGTATTAATAGTAGCTCCATGTTGTCAAATTGCACTCCCATAGGAATGTCCTGCTGATAAAAATTCTGATTTTTTTTTCCTCTGCTGCTCCTAACCTCCTCTGGACCATTTTCAAACTCCAACTTTTTTGTTGTCCTTGTTGAGTATGCTCTCTTCCATACCAAAATTTGCCCTTTTTTTAACATTTCTGGAGAGTTAACATTTTGGTGGATTCATCGGTGTCCATAACAAAACATGATGCCATCGAAATTAAAAAGCTGTGATTACCTACATTAGTTTTGATCTTAGTGCCATGACATTAACATGTATGTGCTATCCTTTGCCCTTCCACAGGGAATTAAATACCTTCAATGGTATAGATCAGAGCTTTTCAACCTTTTCACAGATTGTATCATTTTTAGAACATGACAATATTTGAGTACTACCAATGCTTAGCAAGGTGTCAAAAACTTGATGACTAAAAAAAGGGGGGAGATTTTGGGTTTTACTGATCAGATTCATTTGTTGTTATAGAAATGGCTAGTTTATACTATTATGGAAAAGTAAAAAATTGAGATTTGATGTTAATGCTTCCTTCTACTGCAACAGAGGAAGTTGGAAGTCAATGCCTTTTCTTTTCTTTTTCCCTTCTCCCCCTCACTTTCCCCCCACTTCTTCCTCCCCACTGTGTCCTACTATTTGCTTTTGTATTTTAGTATTTTATTCTATAATCTAATAAAATGTTACAAATTGTAAAAAAAGGTGGGGAAAGTACTGGTTTTAATTTCTTCGTTGGAGGTTCCTTTGCTAAATCACTTTCCCTTTGCACTGACAAATGTATGATGAATTTATCCATATTTGTTAATATGCACCACGACGTTGGTGGTCAGCTGGCTGGTCAACCCTTCTTCCTCTCTCCCTCTCCTCTCTTGTCTTCCTCCCTGCCTGCTGGGCTCTCCTTCCACAGCTTCTTCTTTGTCCCTTTCTCTTTCCCTGTTGTCTTTTTTTCCCCTCTCCCACCAAAACCACCTTCTTTTATATCCTCTCCTCTCTCCCCCTCTTTTTCTCTTCAGTGCTACTCCAGTTGATTCCTCTCCTCAAGGCTGCACTTTTTTTCCCCCGTTGTCTTTTTTCCCCTCTTCCTTTCCTGCCAAAACCTCCTCCTTTTATATCCTCTCCTCTCCCCCCCTTCTCTTCCAGAAGCCCCAGTCAGCTGGAGGCTAGCACTGATCCTGGGGCTTCTGCTGAGCCCTGACAGTCCTGCAGCTCCAGCTGTCTCTGCCTCAGGCTTGTGCGGCACTGCCACCACTTCAGTTCATTCCCCTGCCCCGCTACACATGTCTAGGATGGTCACATATCATCTGCCAGGTGCCAAAGTACCACTGGTGGTACACATACCACCAGTTGAAAAGCCCTGGCATAGATTACAGGTTGTCTTTGATTTACAATTGGGATTGGAATTTTGGTTGTAAGTTGTGGCATCCATGTGACTGGATCCATTTTTTTCAACCATTTTTGCGGTGGTCATCAAATGAATCGCATGATCATTAAGTGAATTCATTCTTCCAAATGGGCTTTTTTTTTTTTTGCTGGAAGCCAGCAAACATCCTAGCAAATTGTAGTCATGTGACCATGGGATGCTGCAACTGAGCTGATTGCCAAGTGGTTGAAATGTAGTAATGTGACTGTGGACTGAGAGGGGAGTAGTCTTACGTTTTACGATGGTTGGAAGTGCTTTAGGGGTATAAAGGGGCTATGTTTCCAAGACTATCGTAACTTTGAAGGGTTGTTAAACAGCCGACTGTAAGTTAAGGACTACCTTTACTATGATGACCTTTGGTTACATGGTTTTCAGGATTCTGGCTTGGTTGGGGTCCCCCCCCCATCACTTTTGGAACTAATCTTTCCTGCCACTTCTAAACTGATCTGTTATACAACAATTTGTAGAGTTGGAAAGACCTAGCCAAACTGTCTAAACTGCCAAAAAGATGTCCTGATCATTATCCATTTTGTCTTCTTCCCTTATGTCAAATTTGGGTTTTTCAATAATACTTTTCAAGTGATTACAAACTGAAAAAAACAAAAAAATAACTCAGGGCAAGTATGGAGAAATCAAAGAGATGCTGGACCTACCTGTGCTACAGAGGGCCTTGCTGTCTCATCTTACCTTAGCTGAAATGAAAGGTTGGGAATGAAGGCTTATGTGCTGCTAAGCAGTCAGCTAAACCCTGCATGATCACATAACCACATTCATAATAATCATACTTACAGCCTTGATATATACAAGGAAAGATGCTCCCTATCGGGTAAGAAGCATAAATCTGTCTTCACTCCAACAGGGAGATACTATGTTTTTCCCATTCTATTAAAACAGTTCTTTATTGGGCTGCAAAGAGCGCAGTGGATCTGGAGATGGATCCCTGGAGAAAGTTAAAACCTCTTCCCATTAGAGATTTTGACTGAATTCACTATATAAGGGAAGTCAAACTTCTCCCACTGGTGTTATTAATGCAGGCAAGATGCTGTTTCTACTGTTATTAACAATGGAGAAACAGCAGTTAGTTACATTAAGATTGCTGGCAAGAGTAACAGCACAAGGAATTGCACCAATCAATACCTGTCATGCAGAAATATGAAAATAATGAGCATTGCAGATTTCTCACTGTTCACTGTTTTTATATTTCTTGCTTCAACCTGGAAATGGATTGTATTCTAGCATTTGGTATTGGTTGTATAATTCTTCCTGGAGAGTTCTTTCTTTCTTTCTTTCTTTCTTTCTTTCTTTCTTTCTTTCTTTCTTTCTTTCTTTCTTTCTTTCTTTCTTTCTTTCCTTTCTTATATAATTTTTACTAAAATCTTTAAAACCAGAAGATAAAAGCTAACACAAAATCATGGAAAGGAAGGAAAAAGAAAAAGAAAGAAATCAAAGCAACATCAAATGGTATAAGAAAGGGGGGGGGGAGGTTTAGAAGAATATATGTGCTGTAGTATTAGTAATTAATAAATAGTCATAGAATTAAACTTAAAAACATCAAAATGGCAAAATGGATACAACAATGGATCGTTGCTATTTTTCAATCAATATGTGTCAATGGTTGATCAATATAATCATCAAACTATGCAAGGCTTGTGTTGTAGGAAGTAGTTATATTTCTATCCCATGGAAGTTTCCTAAAGTGGTAAGCTTAGTGTTCAATAACACTAAGCTTACCTCTTTTACCAATTATGGCTATTACTAGAATTGATTTGCCAAATTCTGGATATCTGATGACAGAAAAGAAGATGTATGTATCTCTTTGCTATTTTTGCAGCCCAGATGTGATAGGGGAGAAGACAACAGAGGAGAGGAGAGATCATTTGGAATAAGGGAACTAGAGTAAAATGACAGTGTTTTTTGAGCATGGACAAGAGTCTACTCCAGAGAACCCTTCTACATATGATATGCTGAGGTTAGTGTTAGAAACTTGGACCCAGGGTAAACATAGGAGATCCCATTAGCAATAGCAATAGCATTTAAATAAACATATATGGCTCCATAGAGCTTTACAACATTCTCCAAATGGTTTACAAATGTCAGCATATTGCCCGCAACATTTTACCGACCTTGGAAGAATGGAAGGCTGATTGAACTCCTGGCTGTGGGCACAGTTAGCCTGCAATAATGCATTCTAACCACTGCACCACCATGGCTCCTTCCAACTACTTTGTTATGGAGGGGAAGTGTTAATAAGCACCACTATTGCCATCATTTTATTGAGAGAGAGAATCCTATTTCTACTTACAAAATCAAACTAAAAAGGAAAAATGCAACACTTTAAAATGAAGGCCAGTTTTTTTCTTTTTTTAATATAGTTAGTGAAATTTCTCTCTCAAAGCAAAAGTGTTTCTTTCTAATCCAAGTGCTCCTTCTTTAGAAGTTTTACTTAAATAGACTTCTAACTGACCTTCTGTGGTCTTAGTTTGCTGGTACTTTTCCACATGACAAGTTAGTTTGACTCAGCTATTCCTTTATGCAGGGCATCAATCAGATTCTTTATGTGCAAGTGTGGGCATGGTACAGTGATATTTGCACAACTATCAGCAAATCATAGTTTCAAAATATAGAAAGCAACAGAAAGGAAGAGCCACATTAGTACTGCTTCTCTGGTAAAGTATTATGAAATTGTATTTATACACAAATAAATAATTATCTTAATGTTCTCTTTCTTTCCTTCTCTAGCTGGATATGCCAGTCTGTGGAGAGATTGTGAAAAGCCCCACCCTTGACTGAAAAATCAGCTCCATTTCAGGAAACATTTTTACTGATTAAGGCTTCTGTGGCACTACTTGCTTCCTCCTAAACTGGGGAAAAGGACATATTCTTGTTCTAATTCCATTTTAAGATGACCTGCATACATAGATTGGAGTTGGCAGGGCAGGGAACACCCTTCTCAGATGTTCTATTTTTGAGTTCCATTTTCTGAGGACTCACTTTAAGTCCAAACCAATTATAGGCAAGATTTACCATGCAGAAAGAGCACTCTGTCAGTGAAGTTAAAATGAAACCCTAAGGAAGTTCTTTCCCTGTGACAAATGCCTCATAATTTGAGATAGAACTAGAAAGAAGTAGGGATCTGACTTAATTTCACATGGTTAATGTTAGGTAAACTCTAGACTGCCTGTCTGCAGAATTGTAAGTTTGTGTTTGGGGCAGGAATAACTGCTTTAATTCTATTGGCCGCCACCTATCGGCAGTCTGTATAAATAGACGTTAAGCAGCTGTTAGAGCTGCTTCTGTGTTAACCAATAAACATGTTGTTATTTTCACCTTCGCCTCCTCAGTGTCTCAAAGATCCCAGTACATAATGGCGGATCAACACAAAAGCCCTTAGCAGCACAAGGCATTGAGAGGTCAGTAACAGCTGACCATGGCCAAGGTCGGCAAGCTGTCGGAGTTCAACATGTCGCAGCCTGAGAGGTGGAGCTCGTATGTTTCATGAGTCGAGAACTATCTAAGAGTGAACCCAGTTAACGAAGATGTTTTAAAGGCTGCAACTTTACTTTGCGTGTGTGGCCAGGCAACCTTCGATATAAATGAAAACTTGGTTGCTCCAGCTATACTAGAGTCGGTCGCCTACCCCAAGCTCAAGAAAAAGCTCAAGGAGCATTTCGAGCCTAAGCTCTCCATCATTGCATGGAAACATGCGTTCGAACAAAGAGAGCTGCAACCAGGACAGTCAGCTGCTGAATTTGTGGCTGTGCTTTGACAGGCGTCCAGGGTCTGAAATTTCACAGACCTAGAAGAGAGGCCTAGAGACCATCTGGTATGCACTTTACAGAACAGGGATCTCCAGCAGAAATTGTTTGCGAAGGAGACCTTGACATTCCAGGATGCTCTGAAAGAGGTAATGGCAGAAGAAGCTGCCGGGGAGCCGTCAAACCTTACAACCCTCCAAGAATATTCCCAGCCCAGCAACTGTCCACCATGAAGATGCGGAAAGAGCCGACAACCCAGACAGGGACAATGAGGTCAACTGGCTGCAGAAGCTACCAGAAAGAGGGTGGCAGTCACTGGTTAAGGCAGCGCCCTTCCCTAGCTGTGTGGGCTGTGGTGGCAGATATCGGTGCTCAGAATGTAGATTCTGTACAGCAGTGTGCTGAGCAGGTGGCAAACAAGGCCACCTCACCAGTGTCTATAAAGGTCGCCAGAGGGATTCTCTACAAGAAGAATTTCCCAGGAAAGGTACAGGGGCCCCGGGGCAAAACAGAGTTGGATTTTGCTCCAGCAGAAGGAGCATTTTTAGAACAGGAGCCCATCGTTCCCTTAAAGAAAAGCTTAGGCTTAAAGTCAAGCTTCAAGGAATTTCATGTTCCATGGAATTGGACACCAGGTAAGCCCTTTCCATAGTTTCTCAAAGAACTTTTAACTACATCTGCAGTCGCAGCGGCAAAAGAGTCAAACTCAAGCCGTCAAATCTAGTGTTGACAGATTTTCAAAATTCCTGTGTAGCAGTTAAAGGGGAGGCTATGCTAACAGTACAGTTCAAAGAGTTTGAGGGTTCCCTCGATGTCATGGTAGTCGAAGGCCATCGCACAAGCCTCATTGGTTTAGACTAGTTTGATGCCCTGGGCATCCACGTGACTGGCATAAATAAAATGCAAGCAGCGGACCTGATGACTGTTTGCCAGGAATATGCTGATGTCTTCAACCTTAGCTTAGCCAAGTACAAGGAAGCTCCAATCGCCCTTCACCTTGACCCAACCTTAACCCCAATCAGGATCAAGCCTCGCACAGTGCCTTTTGCCCTCAAATCAAAAATTGATGCAGAGCTGGAAGAGCTGGTGCAACAAGATGTGTTGCAGCCAGTAGATAGCAGTTTGTGGGAAACTCCCATAGTCACAACACTTAAGTCCAACAATGAGGTCTGCATATGCGTGGATTATAAGTGTACTATAAATAAAGCACTTCAACAGCATGCATATCTGGTACCTGTAGTTAGCTATATCTTGGTATCATTGCAGGGAGGTCTCATATTTGCCAAATTGGATTTGGCACAGACATACCAGCAACTGCCCATGGACAATGCCACGGCAGAAGCTCAAACTATAGTAACCCACAGGGCAGCATTCAGGGTTCGTCGCGTGCAGTTTGGGGTCAGTGTGTCCCCAGGTCTTTTCAGGAGTGTGATGGAGCACACACTCAAAAACATCCTCATAGCTGGGGAGTCAGTAGAAATATTACCAGAATGGCTCAAAGCCATCCTTTAGCGTTTCCGCAAAGCGGGGCTGAAGCTTAAGAGAAACAAATACCAAATAGGTGTGGACTCAACAGAGTTCCTCGGTTTTCACATAGATGCTGCAGGCATTCACCCCGCCGAATCTAAGCTCCAAGCTATTCAGCAGGCTCCCAGACCAAAGTCAAACAGGGAGCTATGGGCATTTTTGGGGTTACTCAATTTCTACCATGCATTCCTGCCTCATAAGGCAGCATTGGCAGAGCCCTTACACGGACTCTTGGACAAGAAGGCCCCACGAGAACAGTTTCAAGGCAGTCAAATCACTGTTGTCTTTGCACTCCGTGCTTGCTTATTTTAATGAAAAGCTGCCTATCAGCATTGCATGTGATGCATCTCCTTACAGAATAGGAACCATGTTGAGCTATTTAATGGCCAACAGGAGGCAAGCTCCCATAGCTTATTATTCAAGGACACTGTCACCGGTGAAACACAACTATGCCCAAATAGATAAAGACGCACTTGCCATCGTGGCCGGCATCAAAAAATTTCATGATTTCCTTTATGGTCTCCCATTCACAGTCTTCACCGACCATAAGCCACTACTTGGTCTGGTCACGACAGATAAACAAACTCCTCAGATCCTATCTCCATGGATACTGAGATGGTCCATCTTTCTTGCCGCTTATAATTACAATCTAATTCACAAACCGGGCAGGGAAATGGGCCACACTGACGCGCTCAGCAGACTGCCCCTGCCAATGTTGGCCATTAACATTATTTAAAATAATTAAAACATTCTTTTAATTTTTATCATTTACATTTCATTTTGTCCCTCCTTTGACATCCTTTATTTAATGATTCTATTCCACTATTTCTTTGATATTAGTGTAACTCTTGTCCTGCAGCAAGTTGGCCACAGCAATTTAGCTGCAGTGAGTTGGCCGTGGCGAGTTGACTGTAGACCCTATTCTAAGTGTGTTTAACTGAGCTCATTACGAATAGACCCCACAATTTGGTAGTTTGTTAACTGGCATTTTCTTTTCCTATCTCACATTTTATTTATATTTCTTTTAAAAATCCCCTCTGTTCTTCTGAGCACCAGACACCTTTAAGAATTGTGGAGAATTCTAAAATTCACACATTTTGTGAAGATAATAATATTAGTAGTAATAGTAGTAGTAGTAGTAGTAATAATAATAATAATAATAATAATAATAATAATAATAATAAAAAATTCTGGCTGCACAAAACCAAGCCTTAAGGACAAATGCATATAAAGTCAAAATTGAGAAGACAGAAACAGACAGTAAGTGCCGCCTATGCAAAGAAGCTGAAGAAATAGTGGACCACCTGGTAAGCTGTTGCAAGAAGATTGCACAGACTGACTATAAGCAGCGGCATGACAAAGTAGCAACAATGGTGCATTGGAAGATCTGCAAAAAATATCATTTGCCTGTAAGCAAAAACTGGTGGGATCATAAAATAGAGAAAGTCCATAGAAAATGATAAAATTAAACTGCTCTGGGACTTCAGAATTCAAACAGACAAGCACCTGCAACATAACACCCCAGACTTAACAATTGTCGATAAGAAAGACAAAAAAGTCTGGATAGTGGACGTGGCAGTGCCTGGAGACAGCAGAATAGAAGAGAAAGAACTGGAGAAGATAACAAAATACAAAGACCTACAAATAGAAATAGAAAGACTGTGGCAAAAGCAATCAAGGGTAGTACCAATAGTCATAGGCTCCTTGGGTGCAATTCCAAAACAACTGGAGCACCACTTGAACACCATTGGCATTGACAAATTCGCTATTAGTCAATTGCAAAAGGCATCCTTACTAGGAACTGCTTCCATCCTGCGACGATATCTGTAATACCATCAAACATCCACATCTGCCTATCCCAGGTCCTGGGTAAGGACCTGATAGGTAGACAAAATGCCAAATCTAGTCTGAACATCTGGCTGACTATGCGATGATCCATAATAATAATAATAAAGCTGGAAGGGATCTTGGAGGTTATCTAGTCCAACCCCCTGCTCAGGCAGGAAACCCTATACCATTTCGGACAAATGGCTGTCCAGTCTCTTCTTAAAAACTTCCAGTGTTGGAGCATTCACCGCTTCTGGAGGCAGGTTGTTCCACTGCTTAATTGTTCTAACTGTCAGGAAGTTTCTCCTTACTTCTAGGTTGCTTCTCTCCTTGATTAGTTTCCATCCGTTGCTTCTTGTCCTGCCCTCAGGCGCTTTGGAGAATAGCTTGACTCCCTCTTCTTTGTGGCAATGCCTGAGATATTGGAAGACTGCTATCATGTCCCCCCTCGTCCTTCTCTTCATTAAACTAAACATGATCTCAGAATCCAATTATATTTTATCTCTAGTTATCGACTATGGAAAACCCCATTTCTGCCCTCTCTGGATTCTGTCCTATGATGAAGGGAAGAGGAGGTGAACAAAGGGGTTTTATGGCCCTCACTTCCTTCGGTACAACTTCAAAGGGACTGAATGTGGATATCACCAAAAGGACTAATCATAACAATGGGGCCATCAGCTTTCATCTACTCCTCTCTGAAGTCTCCCTTCCACCGGCAGTGAGGAAAAAGGGGGTGTAAATGTAACGCCTGGGATTGTCGCTGGAAAGATGGTGGGGTGGAGCTGCTGGGAACCCCTTAAAACCTTGAACCGTAGAGCTTGGGCCCCAGGTCCTGTCTAGAACGCCTGCAACCATTTTCTCTTAATAAAGGATGCCTGTTGGAAGAAATATTCCAAGAGTTCTGTCTTCTTAAGATGCAAAGTGGGGTGGGTCCTTACACATACCCAATTCCAGCAGCCATTCCTTATATGTTTTAGCCTCCAGTCCCCTAATCATCTTTGTTGCTCTTCTCTGTACTCTTTCTAGAGTCTCAACATCTTTTTTACATCGTGGTGACCAAAACTGGATGCAGTATTCCAAGTGTGGCCTTACCAAGATAAATTTGCCTGATAAAGATATTTGTGATGGAACGTGCATCTGGAGAAGGAGTGGTGAGGGAGTCTTGGCAAGAGCACCAGGGTTTCCCAGGGAGTAGACAGTACATTCCAGAGAGAAATCCAAAATAAGAGATTGTGCTGTCCTAAACTGGATGGGGAAGGAAAGAAGAGATTCAGGGTAACTGCAGTGTAGAGTCTCTCAGGATACAGCTATTAGGTTAGGATTTTATAGTTTTAATCTGACAAGATTCTGCCTATTAGGAATAAGCAAATAAAGAATTGGACTCTATATGATTTCACCATGTTGTCTTTGCCAATATTGCTGAGATGTAGAATGTAATATATCTTTTTTTACTGCTTGGACAGCTGTTTTATAAAGTTATGCTTTTGCATAAATACTGCATATTTAATTCTAAATTAAAAAATAAATAAGAATAACTGAGAATACTAAAAATCACAAATATCTATAGAAAAATAAAAAGGCTTTCAATTAGCATCAGCTTGATTTGTTTCACAAAGAAACAAATATTTCTTGAAACTTTTTCAATTGATAGAGTGCTAATATACATAAAAAATGCCCTCAGTTACCACTCCTTTCACCTCTGAAATAGTGACATGCACAACTGTAATGTTAATAAAAGCCTGAATACAGGTTATAAAGCTTGCACTCTGATCCCAAACATGCTGCTTTCAAATAAACCTGCAATTCCACTGTAATGACCTTGAAATTCTTGTTCTAAGTTAGATTTGTGCATATTTAGTATGCATATTCATTGAAGTAATTTTTCATGACCCAACATGTCCCAGATGCAAAAAAATTAATCCAACAAAATAATAACTATTCTGAGATTTATGAATAACAGTTTTCTTTAATTTTTTGTGGGAAATACATTTTCATAAATGTACTTTAGAAGTATTCAATATAAATTAATATTTGTTTTATTAAAAACAACAATCCTAGGCCCATTTAATTGCACATAAGTTCTACTTGTTTCAGGAAAACTTCCTTCTAAGTAGACATGCACAAATATTTGCAATAGAATGAGTTGGTAGACAGATCAGACTTTTTTAAAAATTACTTTGTGGAGGAAGATGTTGCTGCAATTGATGTCAAACACAGAAAATAGAAGGGTAGGCTTAAGTCAGTGCTTCTGAACATCAGCAACTCTAAGATATGTGGAATTCAACTTTCAGAATTCCCCAGCCAGCATCTTAAAGTTGTTGAGAACTCAGCTGATGTAGAGAAACACTGATTTACTTGATTGTATTTGCTCCCTTTTGGAAAAGCATCAAATTAAAATTAAACATTTTTGAGGTAGTGCCGTTTGAAATTAGAGATACTGTTAGAAACAGAGTTTGAAGAAGAACTCTACCTGAGATATAATTACAACAATAGGTTGAGGGGTCCTTAGTTCTCTCCAAGCTTGGCTGTTTTCTTGCAGATATTTTATTATTCAAAGTTGGTAATGTCATCAGTGCAGAGAAGGACTCCTCATTTCAACCCTCTCTTTCATGGGCAATGCAGCTTTTAGAAGGTTGTGATTGTAATACATTCTTCATAAGAATTTTGAAAATGCAACTTAATTTAAAGCAACAAAATTAATCCTCTTTATACACCAACAGTATTAGAAACATAAATAGATTCCCCACAATGATTCATAAAAGCAGGGCTTTTTTTCTCATAGAATGCCCAGAATGGAGTTCTGGCACCTTTTTTGGATGGAACCTTATAGGGTAGGCAAGGCGGATTGTATGACGTGTGTGAGTGCCAGCACCTTTTTTTTTTTAAAGAAAAAAAGCACTGCATAAAAGTACAATACAAGTGACTTCCTCAGTGTGTAAGTTAACACTATGGTGATTTGTTTTTCATGATAAATTAATATTGAGAATCATTCTGTCTTAATGGAATTGAGAAAGCACTAGATCAGTGGTGGTGAGCCTATGGCACAGGTGCCAGAGGTGGCACTCGGAGCCTTCTCTGTGCGCACACATGCCGTTGCCCCAACCTTGCCTCCCCCCGCAACCCTCTCCTCACCAGAAGCCGCCCTGGAGGAGAGTCGCCCCCAAGTGTGGCCCACGTGGAGCAGCGCAGCCAAGGACATGGCAGCCAGGCAGCATAGACAAGATTCTGCCCTCATGTCCCATTGTGCACAGCTGATGCTGCGGGGTGTGGGCAGAGGGCATGGCCGCCATGGCGCTGTTGGATGATCTGTGGTGGGCCCTGGAGGCAGTGAGTGGCCCTGCGGGCAAGTGGGGTGGGGAGGGGCAGGGGGAGGGGGAGGGGTGGAGCAGGGGTGGGGCCAGTTTTTGGGCACTCAGTCTCTAAAAGGTTCACCATCACTGCACTAGATGCAAACTGCTTGCCTCTTCTTGACAGCCGGAACAGCTAAACAAATCATGAAATCCTCTTCAAGATTTAGCATTGCTTGAAAAAGAGGACTCACACTAACAGCCAAAAAATCTGCAGGTCTGCAAGAAAACAACCAAGCTCAGAGAGCACCAAGGAGCCCACAGTTCAAGCCTGAGCTACAAATATTCTCTTCTAATCTTACAAGTCAGAAGCATAAATCCAAATGGACTTTGGCTTCTAATTCTGGCTGGGAAGGTGGGCAATAAAAAGGAACTAATACAAAGGTTCCTATGATTTTTTTAATAGATCCAGTGGCTACTAAAGTTAGCAAAAAATATTCTGAAAGGCTTACCAATTCATTTGCTTAGATATTAAGATGTACAAGGTGAGCAACAAAAAAATTAAAGTCTTATTCACTCTTATTTTGTACTTCTGTTTGACAGTTTCAAGGAGTTTTTCCCCCCTAGGAGGGACAATAAGGACTATTCTTGGTGCAGTATTTGAGGTGAACAGATGGACAGATCATTTTCATT